CAAATTCATCCCTGCTGAGCTGGAAACCAGCTTCCCCTGGCTGATATTCATCAGTGCAACCATCGATTTTAATGACTCGGTCAACAGACACACACCACCTCCACTCTCAGCATCTTCCTCTCTTTCTCTTCATCAGCCTCAACCTCTCTATCTCCTCTAATCTTCCCCTCCTCCTGTGTACTGGCCCCCGTTTCTTACTTTTTTTCAGGCACCCTCTTAAACAACAATAGCGTCAGTCATTTAGAATTTTTGCAACCATGCTTTTCTTCATGATGTTAAATGAAGAATCTTGGTGAGATTATATATTTTGTTAGCGATAAAAATCAGCAATTGGGGGAAAACAAAGAGATGATGATGAAAAATAAGTAGAAAGAGCAAGTGGCAGTGAGGAAATTAACAACCAGTGAGGAGTTGGATTTGTGCAGACATGACAGGCAGGTATTATGAAAAGCCCTGCTCTGTGGACAGAGAAACCAGGTAGGCTGATCACAGCCAGCTGAATGTCGAATTGCTGTAGGTGATGAAGATAAAGCTGCCACCCACATAATAATAAATACATAATAAATACTGTAAACAGAGAAATAAATAGACAGACAAACGGACTTAAAAACAAATGAAGCATGCCCCTTTCGATGTGCCCACTGATATAGAGCAAAGACAAATTGCTCCCTTTGAAGGCAAAGCCAAATCAAACGTGGACTGTGATTTCTGTCACCGTGGCATTTGGCTTTAAGTGTGGAAAGCTGACAGTCTGACAAAACATCCACTCAGTCACACCCAGGAAGTTAGGCACGCATGTAACCGCACACACACGGATACACATGGCCTGTTTGTGAGACTGAATTAAGGAGAAAGAGAGTCTCTTTGCCCCTCTGAGATCCAGGCCTTTACCATCAAAAAGCCACTAAACCATCTCGGCCCGTCAGTACTTACCAGCGTTCTTGTCAGCAGGAATTTTTTGTTTTCCAAGTGGCTGCCCAATGATCGTTTCTGAAAGCCACCAGATGTGAGATGCCGGTCGGCCTAACGTAATACATCCTCATTCCCCAAACGTCACTCCACTGATTTTTTTTTTTGGTCAAGAACCCCTTTGTGCCAGTTTTTAAACACACTGAGAACAGCTCTGTGGCAAGAAAAGTGCCTTTTACACCGTTCACTTGTCAACAGGTACCATGACTCATAACTTTATATTTTCTAGTTTATGTGCCCTTCTGTTCTTCAGCCTTGGTGCTACTGGGGATGAGCAATTTTCCATTAGTTGAAGTGTATCTGACTATCCCCTTTTTGGAAAAACAAAACTAAAAAAGCAGTGGCACCTTGTAGTGATAAACCAAATTGTTTTCTAACGGTGCTTTTCTAGTTGAGTCAATATGCTATTTTCTGACACGTTTTTTGTCCACGGCCCACCTGCCACCTAAACACAGAAAATTAAAGAGGGGAAAAGTAAATTGGGAACGTTGTAACATCTATTTCTGTCATGGTAGTTTAATTTGAAGAGATTACATAGAAGAAACTATGGTCATGTGTGAGCTCAGCTTTCCTGACAGAATACATGGATCATCTTCCATCAGTGGTGGGCACAGCTAACTAAAAAGTTAGATTCACTAACTACTAATCCGCTAAACAACAATCTTAGCTCCACTAATGCTAAACCACTAAACAGGTAAAAAAAAGTAGTTGTAGAAGCTAACACTAACTGCTAGGACGACTGTAGCTTGTGTCATCTCCTTCCAGATGGTGGAACTCATGCAAACTTGTTGGTGTTCTATTGGTTAAATTTGAAGGTGGGTGGGATCATCTGTGGCAAACTGGCCAATTTAAACCAAAGTTTATACTTCCAGTTTAACTCTTTCAGATTAAGAGCATTTCTAGATCAAGTTTTCATTTTTATGAATACTCTTTGAAGTTAGTCAACAAACAAATAGCATAGATTTTCTCTACCATATTTTATACATATGTAGTCAATATTTTGAATGTATTTACATACTGTTGAATGTTTTTGAATTTATTTTTGATGCTCTTAGTTTGAAGTTTAGGTGCTAAAGTTGCTACATGCAAACACAGTGCCTGATATGTCCAGCACTGCTTGTAAGAGAGGATATCTTTTTATTTAATTTGATTTATATATATACAGTA